AAACTCTTGGGCTTAAGTGATTCTCTTGCCTCAGCTTCCCAAGTAGCTGGGACTACAGATACCTGCCACAATGCCTGGCTATTTTTTGGTTGGAGTTGTTGTTTGGCAGGCCCGGGCTGGATTTGAACTCGCCAGCTCCAGTGTATGTGACTGGCGCCCTTGCTGCTTGAGCTATAGGCACCAAACATTTTTTGTTTATTTTTGAGATGGAGTCTCACTCTGTCGCCTTGGGTGTAGAGTGCTGTAATGTCAACTCACAGCAACCTCAGACTCTTTGGCTCAAGCGATTCTGCCTTAGCCTCCTGAGTAGCTGGGACTACAGGTGCCTACCACCACCTGGCTAGTTTTTCTATTTTTAGTAGAGACAGGGTCTTGCTCTTCTTCAGGCTACTCTTGAGCTCCTTGAACGCGCCTCAGCCTCCCAGAGTGCTAGGGTTACAGGTGTGAGCCACTGTCCTCCTCCAGTTGCCACAACCAAAAATGTCTCCAAATGTTGCCACATGTTCCTTGTGGGGAGAGGGCATCCTCTGATTGAGGACAGTGGTTCCTAGGAGGTTGTCCTTGTCTGTATTGGACAAACTTTCGGGAAGGACTTCATTGTTTCCAGTTCTAAATGCCCATCAGTGTATCTTCTAAGCAGCCATGCAAAGAGACTGAGGACTCTTCCTGAGATAAAATTTCTAGGGTTTTAATCCTGGTCACTTAGAATTTTTTTCTTGTAGACATTATGCTCTAAACACAAAAAGATGTACATATGGTAAGAATATAGCTCAATTAATTTTCACAAATGAAATAGATGTATGTAGCCAGCACACAGATTTTAAAAAATCAAACCTGACAGCACCCCAGAAGCCCTCCAGTTTGCTTGCTGCTTTGTCTTTTTTTTTTTTTTTTCAGAGACAGAGTCTCATTTTGTTACCCTTGGTAGAGTGCTGTGGCGTCACAGCTCACAGCAACCTCCAGCTCTTGGGCCTAGGTGATTCTCTTGCCTCAGCCTCCCAAGTAGCTGGGACTACAGGCACCCGCCACAACACCCAGCTATTTTTTTGTTGCAGTTTGGCTGGGTCTGGGCTCGAACCCACCACCTCGGTATATGGGGCCAGCCCCCTACCCACTGAACCCACAGGTGCCGCCCTGCTTTGTCTTTTTATTATATCCCCAAATGATCCAGTTGGAGTGTGCCATCTACCACCTGACTGAGCACGTCTTCACCATGAGCCTGTGGTCTCCCTTCACTGTTGCTCTGAGCTGGAGTAATGGGTGTACTCCTGACTGTGCTGTCTCCTTACAGGTTGTGTACCAGCCACAGGAGGCAGAGCCAGCTACATCCAAGTCAGAGAAGCTGGACCCTCGGCCTTTCCTGAGGGTGCTAGAGGCCATTGACAACAAGTACCCCCCTGAGGAGCGGGGTGACCTTCTCGTTTTCCTCAGCGGCATGGCAGAGATCAGCGCCGTACTTGAGGCTGCCCAGACCTATGCCAGCCACACCCAGCGCTGGGTAGTGCTGCCGCTGCACAGCGCCCTATCTGTGGCCGACCAGGACAAGGTATCCCATGAAGCCAGGCAGAGTAGAGCTGGTGAAGGTTTGTGTGTAGACCAGAGTGAGGAGGGAGTCAGGGTGGCTACATGCAGGGCTGAGGTGACTCTTCAAATGCAGGTCAGGGAGGCCACACTTAAGCAAAGTCACATAGCCACCAAGTGGCAGAAACCGGGCTATGGATCTAGGCAGTCTGGTCCCAGAGCCCATGCTCTTAACCAGAGGTTGGCAAACTTCTGTAAAAGATTAGGGAGTAGTAAATATTTTCAGCTTTGTGGGCCATAGGTTCTGTCATTGCTACTCAGCTCTACTGTTGCAACATGAAAGCAGCCATAAACTGAATGAATGAAGCTGTATCCTAGCCTGGATTTGGCCCATAGGCTATAGTTGTTGACTCCTATTCTTAACCACTGTGCTTGGCTGTCCCTTGGAGCCAAGAGAAGGGCCTATAGCAAGAGAAAGATGGGGTAACTGGGAGACAACATGCAATGTAGGGGGACCCAGACTGTGAAGGGGAAGCCAGGAGAGATGGGATGGGACTGGGGAGGTGGGCAGGGCTTGACCACAAGGGGCCATGAAGACCCAGTGTGATACCTGCCATGAGAGGCTTCTGAGCAAAGTGAAGGGCAATGCCAGCTTGTCTTCAGCAGATCCTTTTGGCTGTCACCTGAGGGGTGGGTTAGAGGGTGGGAGACTAGGGGCCAGAGGTGAGAGGGGGGGAAGCTAAAGTAGGATGAGAGTAGACTAGGGCAGGGGCCAGGGAGTGGGGGTGGTGCAGGGAGGAGGGAAAGAATTCAAAATGTTCAGGTATGACTGTGAGGCTGAAGGAGTGGAGGGCCCAAGATAGCCCAGGTAGTGGGCCAGAGGGTGAGCCATCTTCAGGATGAGGACTCTGGAGGAGGAAAGGGTTCGGGGGAGGCTGCCAAGGCTGTTTTAGACACATATGTGAGGTGCTAATGGGATATCCAGGGAGCCACTGGACACACAGGTGAATCCTGGCTGAATTTAATCTCTGTTGTCACTTCTTCCCTTTCCCTAGGTGTTTGATGTGGCACCCCCTGGAGTCAGAAAATGCATCCTTTCCACCAACATTGCTGAGACATCAGTCACCATTGATGGGATCCGCTTTGTAGTAGATTCTGGTAAGGGTGCTGCTAGCTCCACCTAGCACCCCAAGGACTGTGGGGATCTAAAGATGAGCACATAGAGTGCAGGAACTGGAGATGGAAGCAGGGAGTACAGAGTGAATGTCCCATATCCAAAATGCTTAGGGCCAGACATGTTTCAGATTTCAGAATCATTTGTCTCATACTTAGCAATTGACTACCTTGAATCTGAAAACCTGAAATAATCTGAAATGCTACAGTGAACATCTCATTTAAGTGTTACATCAGTGTTTCGAATTTTGGTATGTTTCAGATTTCTGCTTTTCAGAATTTGGATGCACAGCCTATAGGTGGCATTTGGTGCTATGGAGCAGTGGCTTAACTTTTTTCAGACATTCCAAGCTTGCTTTTGCCCAGGGCCCTTGTACTTACTGTTCTCTCTGCTGAGAGCTGTCTTTTTCCATACATCCACATGGTTCTCTCCCTTACCTTGTTTCACAGTCTGCATAAATGTTTCCCCATCTGAGAGGCCCATATTGCCAATTCTAAGTGGTATCCCCCTTCTTCCATTGTTGCTTTCCATAGGAGTGGGACTAATATTTTATATTTGTTGCTTTATTTGTTTTATTTTCCATCTTCCCAATTAGAACATACTCTAGAAATTTAGCATAGCGTAGTGGGTAGGAGACACTGGAGGCCGCCTGGCCAGGTTCACTGCTGGCTGTGTGACCAGGGTCATGTTACTGATGTTCCATGCATTACTTTGCTCATCTGCAAAATGGCAGCACTTCCCTCAGAATATGAAGATGCAATGAATTAATGCCTTGGGAGCTTGAGATGGTGCCTGACACATAGTGAATATTCAATAGATGCTAGCATTTATCTTATTATGTATGACTCTGGGATGCCACTGGTGGTAAAACATCCCATAATTTCATGTACCATTAAGAAAGTTTAGAAATATCATCAATTGAATATTGATACATTGTTGATTCACAAAAATATGAAAAAGTTGGGTCTTATAGTGAATGAAATATAGTTGGTCTGTTCAGTCCTGGGAGACCAGAGCCTTTGCTTTGTTTGTGGCTATATCCCAATTGCCTAGTACCTTGCCTGGCATGTAGTAGGTGCTTAATAAGGATTTGTTGAATGACCAAACCTCTGAAGAAGCAAAGACTTGAGAAAACAAATGAAAAGATCTGTGAATGAGAAAATGAAAGAATGAATGAACAGAACATCAGGGTTGAGCTCAGAATAAGCTCTCCGTTAGCGTTAGTAGAGTAAAGGAGTAGTAAGGGCATCAGTGGAATGGGTAGAATGCCAGGTGTGTGATGGCCACATATGGCTGCTACCTACAGACTCCCTTCCTTCATTGCTTCCCTCCTTCCCTGCAGGGAAAGTGAAGGAGATGAGCTACGACCCACAGGCTAAGCTTCAGCGGCTGCAAGAGTTCTGGATCAGTCAGGCCAGTGCGGAGCAGCGGAAGGGCCGGGCAGGCCGGACAGGACCCGGAGTCTGCTTCCGCCTCTATGCTGAGTCGGACTATGATGCTTTCGCCCCCTATCCTGTTCCAGAAATTCGAAGGGTGGCCCTGGATGCATTGGTGCTGCAGGTGAGACATGGGCAGAGAGGGGCTATCTCCTGACTCCTGGTATAGGAGGAGACAGCCTGGGAGGCATTCACATAGGATCAGCACCAGGGTTCCAGGGCCAGGAAGGGCAGGGCAGGTCAAGCCACTGAGGGGAACTCATCCCTTTCACATGTCAAAACCCACATTGAGGGAAGAATTGTTTCTCAGATCCACAAGGTCAAAAGAAGATCCCATGACACACTCAGAGTGCTTTTAGCTTTTACAGGAAACCCAGCAGGAAGTGGCTTTTAAAAGAGGTGTTTCTCTGTATTTTATATGTAGTATCATGATATTTATACCATTAACGTTTGTTCAGTCTAGATAGACTCAATTACTAAATGACTAGCCCAGCAGAGTTTTAGGGGAATTATTTGTGTTTTGTTTTGTTTTTGGAGAAAATGTCTCACCCAGGCTAGAGTGCTGTGTCATCATAGCTCACAGCAACCTCAAACTCTTGGCCTCAAGCCATCCTCCTGCCTCAGGTTCCTGAGTAGCTGGGACTATAGGTGCCCAAAACAGTGCCTTGCTAATTTTTCTATTATTTTTAGTAGAGATGAGTTCAGGCTCTTGCTCAGGCTGGTCTGGAACTCCTGAGCTCAGGCAATTCACCTGCCTCAGCCTCTCAGATTGCTAGGATTACAGGTGTGAGCCACAGCCCCCGGCCCCATAGCAGTGATTCTCAGCTGCATATATGAATCACCTGAAGATATTAAAAAAAAAAATCATGTCCTGCCCCCAGCCCAGAGCTTCTAACGTAAAGTTTCTTAGTGAGTATTGGGTGGTCAAGTTGGTTAGCAGAGAGGAAGGGAGACTGCCTAGTTGCCAGGTGGATGGCCAGAACTTCTAATCCCTGGGATCAGAGCCAGGTGAGAAGGCTCTCTGAGCTTTATTTTCATTGTCTTGCAGTCACATGAACCACCATGCCAGCCTTTTCTTATTCCAGTCCCTAGAGAGGTACTGTCTGCTTATGAATGTCCTGCTAGGCCTAGTAATGGGTGTGAGCTGTCACTTATTTTTCCTCACCACTTGCTGCTGACCTGGGCCACTGAATTAATTGTGATTCTTTTGGTTGCAAATGAGAGAAGCACAACTCAGACTATCATAGAAAGGAGGATTTTTATCAATTTGTATATCTATGGGGCAGAGTGCATCTCTAGCTTAGGAACAATCCAAGGGTTTGTCCATCTGCTGTAGAAATTTCCAGGCAATGGAAAAAGTAACTGTAGTTGTTCTGAGCTTCTGTCCTGGCTACTTATAACTAGAGAGGATGCTGGGATTTCTCTGTCCCAGCTTCAGTTTGCAAAGTCCCAGGGAAGGCTTCTGGCTGGCCCAGCTCAGGTCATGTGTTCATTCTATAGTCAGTTGCTATGACCAGGGCCTGAGGAACATGATTGGTCCAGCTCAGGTCATGTGTTCCTCCTCCACAGTCCGGGTCTTGGGGGGAAGATGTATTGGTCAGAGACAGAGTTAGACAATGGCCAACCCTCCTCTGTCTCTGTACAATGGATCTTGACATTGGGAGTTTAAAACATCATCGTCATGCTGCACAGTGGCTCACATGTTCCCTGACCCCAGGGTTATGGTTCTTATTTCAGATGAAGAGCATGAATGTGGGGGACCCTCGAACCTTCCCTTTCATTGAGCCACCCCCACCAGCCAGCCTAGAAACTGCCATCCTCTACCTCCGGGACCAGGGAGCCCTGGACAGCTCAGAGGCACTCACTCCCATTGGGTCCCTGCTGGCCCAGCTGCCTGTGGACGTTGTGATTGGTGAGGACCCCCGTCTGGGTGATCACACAGGACACCAGGGCCAGGTGTCAGGCACTGCTTACTCTCTGAGTGACCCGAGGACAAGTCTGTTCTTTCCCAGGGCCCAGTTCGTTTATTCATGTGTGCTTATACCAGGCGCTGTTCTGCATGCTGGGAATAAAGCAGTGGACAGAACAGACACAAATCTCTGCCCTCAGGGCGATGACATTCTGTTGAGGGAGCTCAACAATAAATCAGGAAAAAAATACAAAATATAGTAGATCAGATGGTGCTAAGTGTTATAGAGAAAAGAGAAAGCAAGGGGGAAATGGGAGTGTTGGGCATGGTTGGGAAATTGTTTATAATACAGGCCTCAAGGCAGGCCTCACTGGAAAGTAACATTTGTGGGAAGAAGGGGAGGTGAGGGGTGGGAGCTGTGCAGGTGTTTTGAGCATGCCTCCTGGTAGAAATACAGGAATGTGATGTGAGCCCCCTAATTTAAAACTTTCAGTAACCAAATTAAAAAAGCAGGCCAGGTACAGTGGCTCACGCCTGTAATCCTTGCACTCTGGGAGGCTGAGACAGGTGGATTGCCAGAGCTAACAAGTTTGAGACCAGCCTGAGCAAAAGTGAGATCCCATCTCTACTTAAAATAGAAAGACTGGCTCAGCACCTGTGGCTCAAGCGGCTAAGGCGCCAGCTACATACACCTGAGCTGGTGGGTTTG